GTATATGGAGGCACAGACCACCCACACACTCCATAAAGAGGCACAACTATGTTGAGTAGATACAATAGTGTGAAATATACAGAGAGAGAGTGGATAAAAGCATAAAGAAAGATGAAGGGGAACGCTGCCCAACATAAGCAGAAGTAACCCTACAGCAATGACAGACAACTGGTCACTGGAGTGGGAAAAAAACACAAGAGTCCGTGCCTTGGTGTGACAACAGGAAGTGAGATTATATGAGTTTGTTTGGTACTGGCACCCCAACAGTGGGCGCACCGAGTACGGACCGTGCAGCAGAAGACACGGGAGACTGAAGCTCGAGCACAGGTCTGGAGAACCAGAGATGGACAACCAAGAGTCCACGCTCCCGAGACTGAGCATTGCTGTGGATGACGAGCACCAGCTGCTTGGTACCCCTCACCTATCTCATCAGAGGGGGTGACCCCAGCAGCGATCACCGCGCACTCTGCCACCTCCACGCGAGCCCTAGACCCGCACCTTGCCCACCCAGTCCCACCTACCACAACATACTGCCCCCTTCCCTAGTCCCTCTCCTCCTCAGAGCCCCCCACACTCCGGCAGGACCCACCACAGCCCCGCCTGCCGCTCTGCCCGGAGCCAGCTGCCCACACCTGTCCCCTCCTGGCCCTCACGGCCCCCGCCCGGGCAGTCCCCGCCCGCCCCGGGCACACCCGGCCCCGCTTCCTGTTCCCCAGCACGACCCCGACGCGGCCCCTTCCCGGCAGCACCTGAAGCGCGGCGAGTCCTTCAGGCACTCCTCGAAGTCCACGGTCACCTTCATGCTGCCGGGGCGCCGCTGCCTCCGCTGCTGCGGCTGCTGGCGAAGGTATCGCGGCAAGCTCGGGGCGAGGCGAGGCCGGGCTAGGGCGGGCGGGCGGTGCTCAGGGTGGGGGCGGTGCCGAGTAGGGGCGGGCACAGAACTCCGAGCAGCGCCTCCGCCCCGCCGCGACTGACGGCCCGGGCAGCCAGCAGGGACCGCCCGCCGGGGCGGGGGCGCGCTGGCCAATCGCAAGGCGGGAGAGGCGGGCACAACGGGAAGAGCGCCCAATCAGCGCGGCCGCCTGGAGGAGGCAGCCAACCGCCGGCCCCGCAGGGATCGGGGTGTGAAGAGTGACAGCTGGCCCTGCCAAGGGGAGCGCGGCCGCCGACCTCTCGCGCCAATGGGAGGCCACGGCCGCCCGTAAGAGAGGCCTCGGGTACGGCCGGAGCCGCCGTGCGGGTCGGGCCGTGTTCGGTCTGTGCCTGCGGGATTTGTTGCATTAAAGCTCCTCACTGAACAGGGGAACCCCTCCCCTGGGGAGCGACGCCGGTGCCGGAAGGCCCAGCCTGGCGCCCGTCTGAGCAGGTGATGCCCGGGGCGAGCAGGGCCCGCGGTGACGCGGCAGGCGGGGCGGGCACTGCGGTGGAGAGCGCACGGACCGGCACACACGGACTCACACGGACGTTCAGACAAGGGCCAGTCCCTGCTGAGGGTGTCACCCTGAAGCCCCAGCTCTCGGTGCCCTCCGGCGTGATTCGCCTCTACATTGTGGTAATCGCTGCGGAGTTATGTTACCCGGGGGAGACTCAAAGGTGTCTTTGAAGGAGAAACGCAGACCGCAGGTGTTCCTTGTCAAAGACTATCAAGTGTGTGTGTTCGGGTTTGCCCGAGAATACTCTTTGAAGGGCCGTACCACAGAGTGAAAAGGACCCTGTCGGTCCTCTCGCAGTTTTCAGTGAAGGACTGCAGAAACATTGTAGATTTCTGATCCCTTAAGAAAATGCAGAGATCTTTAGCCAGTTTGGCACTGCTTACTGTTCCCAGATGTAAAACTGACAAGCAAAGGAGCGCCAGACCTGCTGCTCATCCCCAAAGGAGTGACAGACGAGTACGACTTACTGTTCAGGTTAGACCTGGCACAGCTGAAGCAGGAACACATCCTGCAGGCACAAGGGGGCCGTGCTGGGAAGCTGATGTGCAGTGATGTTCACACTTGGCTCCTCCAGGAGTTTGAGGAGCTGCCATACCTGCTTCCAGTGAGCCCACTTATCCCCTGCAGCCCTCACACCTTCCATTGCCCCAGCACCTGCACCACATTTCACCTTCCTTTTTCTCTTTTCTCCCCATTCTCTCGCCCCTGACTTCCCTTCAGTGTCACAAGGAGAAACAGTCAGCATGGAAGGATGTAGTGGGACATAAGACTTCTTTTGTTCCCAAGAGGCTGAATGCCTGCAGTACCTTTACTGTTCCTCCCCCCAGTTGTGTCCTTTCACAGAAGCGAAGGGACGCTTTGTGATTGATTCAGTTGTGGTTTAGTGTGTCACGGTTTTTCCCTAAGACTGGTGAAATGTCAGAAACAAACTCCAGGTTACATCAATCTAACAACTGTATGTTTTTGTGAACTGTCTCTCACCAAAAGTAGACAAACTACCACTAGTTTGGTTAAGGAGTCAAGTCACACCCACTGAGAAAAAGCAGCATGTTAAGAAATATTTGTATCACTGAGGCTGCACTGATGTGAAATCCACTTTTTCAATGTATGCAACTAAGTATGCAATTGAAAAGAGCCCAGCTCTTTTCCTGGGAAGAGTTTTACTTCCTAAGGAGTAGCTGGTGTTAATCATTTTCCATTACTCAGTGCTAGTGAGTGATTACTCAACACTGACCATGAAGAGACAGACCAGTCATGACTAAATCCTACAACACACACAAAAACCACTCTGAAAAATGCAACCTTTGCTTTGGTGTTGCTGTCTTAAATTTGTGATTCAGGTTACCAGATCCACCCTGAGGTCTAGGTAAGCCAACAAATCTGAAAATGTGTACAAACCTGATTTATATGAAAGTTACACTAAAGAGTACATCCTCACTTGCAGTCACAAGGAAATTGCAATATTGGTTCAAGAATTTATCTGTGAACACAAACCTGAAAACTCCACAGTAGCTGTTGGTTTCTTCTGAAGAGCTCCAAGAAGTAAAACCAATAGATTAGTATTAGTGCCATAAGGCAGTAATGAAGACTGGTTTTATTTATGTTGTGACACTTAACACTGGTTTCCAATAGAATACTTACATTTGTGAGGTGGCATCATAATTAACACCACAAAAAACATATTACAGAAACAAAAGTTCTGGTAAGATTTACAACTTTAACATGAGAGAGTGAGCTGTGGCAAAAATATCTGCAGTTTCCATGAACTGTGTACAACTTGGTGTGAAAGAAACTTAAAGAACAGAAAAAAAAAATTTATAGACAGAGTTAAGGCTCTTATTTGCAAGTGATCTTCCTATTGGAAGCATATTGAAAATGCTCTCTCTAAACAGGATGCAGCTTGAGGACTCAAACCTGTGCAAGAAGCTTCACAATTATGATGCTGTGGAGCTCACTGTCCACATTAGTAAGGGCTATGTGTCTTTTGTTTCCTCTTCACACCACTCTGTACTGAACAACTGAGCCTTTACCATACGCACCTAAAGATTAAGATATGCCTGCAAGCTAAGTCACCATCAATGTAAAAGGAGAAAAGGCATTTCTTCTCTTGTCCCTTCAGCATGGAACTCTAACTGGTATTTCCCAAGTAGAGGAAAACCAGACATCCCTTTGGAAAAAAAGCTATATATGTATCTGTAACTACTGCAAAGTAAAACTTGCCTGGTTTAGCTTTTAAAATGCATGAAGGTGTTAGCCTGGAGAAAACCAAGTAAATCTGCCTTTCAGTTAAAAGCAGCGTCAGTGACTTTGATTTGCACTCCTGATGAGGAAGATGAAGCAGCAGAACAGAATTTTTGCCAGCACCAAGGATAATGAAGAGAACAAAGCCTTTAAAAAACCCCAAACTAAAACAAGTTTCAAAATGGCATCAAACTAGAACTTAGGGGTTTGGTGGCATGCAAGAAGGGAAATCACTCAGCTCAAAATCATGTGACTGATGAAAGGGCCTTCTATACATTCTGAGGTTCATTTAAAACCCTCTTCATGCATTTATGTATTGTACCTCCCTCAACGCTACACACTCATTTCATTCAGGATTTGAAAGTCATTACAGGAAAGGTCTTTATTGGAAGTTACCAAGTTTGGAAGTTTGTTTGTTTGTTAAACAAAATGCTTTCTAGACCCTGTAGGGTACAGAGAAGCCCCACTGAGCACCAAAATGGTCTTGGACATAGAAGGCAGGCGGGGGGTGGGGGTAAGGAGGGCAGGACATTAGCTCGGGTAGGAGTTGCTGCTGCTGGATTTTACCTTAACTGCAGATACAAAGTACCCACATGTAATTATTACCCAGTACAGGTAATCTGTTGTACAGCCTCACAAAGCAGATCTGTGTTACCCACACACATTGGTCACCCCTCAACCCATCCACACCCCTCTGAAAGCAACGTGACTTTGCCGAGTGCTGCTGTGCTCTCAGCAGGACCTCAGTGCCCGGCAGGGCCGGGCCGGGCCGGGCCAGCGGCTGCGTGGTCTGAAGCAGCTCAGTGCAGACAGGACGACACTCTCAACACTGCAAACTGGTACGGAAAGGGTGCAAACTTAAAAGTTTTGAAATCCTAGTCTTATGAGCCAAATTTCAAGCTACAATAAATTACTTGAGGAGTCAGAATTATCTAAATGCTTGCTCTTAGCCCCTGTTTATTCTACAGAAGTGACCGTGTTTGATACAAGAAGAAATAGCATTATCTATCTTGAAAAATTACATCACCACACTGGCCTGAATCAAGAGTTCAACTCTTTCTTGTGAAAAGATGCTATTCACTCTGATTCAGGACCTTAGAAGACTAAATAACCCACAACTGACTACCCTGTTACCTACTAAGGAGAGGATATAGTTGGGAAAGGCACTCTACAACACCCAGTTAGCACAACTCACAGGTATCTTTGGCAGTGCATCCGTTCTAATGAATTATTCCCGTATAAATCTTCCAAAGGACAGCATCCTATCACCTTATTCACTCTCAATCTCTCTGGGACTTCAGGAAAGCTCACACCTGAGAATGCACATAACTGTAAAATAACTTTCATTCCTTTATTCAAACTTCACATATACAGTGGAGAAAAAGACATTTTAAAATAGATCCATATAATTATAAGGATTTTTGCAACATATCAAATTCAGATCAAAATTAAGATATACACTGTATTCCATAACCAAGCTAAAGTTTAAGTGTATTACGTCGTTTGTGTAATAAACCCCAGGAACTACTCTGAATACCGGAACATTCACCAGTCAAATTTCACCCAGTGGGAAGTTCCTTACAGCAATTTGGAGGTGCAGAATCCCTCTTTATGGGGGCTATATAACCACATTGTAAACAAAGTATTTGAATTAGGCAGTTTCCCTTCTAGTCTTCCAAAAAGCCTTCATTTATAAAAGCAGTTGCTGTAAGTTGCAATGGACATAGGAAGATACAAACCAGTGGTTTTCAGTATGGGGGTTGCCAACCCCAAATGAGTAGATCAACAGCAGTTATCTTTATTAAAGAACAGCCAGAGCCTAAGCTCAGCACATCTTCACAATCCTGATGTGGATTTCCTTGTGGCTGGGCATTTTTCCTCAGGTGCTAGTAGCACAAGCACTGTTCATGCAACTGGAAAGAACCAAACGTCTGAAACGAGCCAGAAGAGTGACAGTGGATGTGGTTTTAAGAGAAAAGCTGGAGGAAACTTCCATGTTCTCACAATAAGCCAAAGACAGCTCCACAAAACAGCCAGTCCCGATGGAAGAGATAATGACAGTGAAATGCAAAGATCAAGTCAGCTGTTTCCAGTGTCAAACCATTCCCTCCGCCAGATGTTAGCACTGCTTTAGTCAGAAACTAACAATGAATTCCAAACACCGCTCTTAAAAAATAACACAGCTCTTGTTCTAAAGACTGGGAAAGTGCAGGTAGTAACATACTGAAATCTAGATTAACAGGTCAACACTTTACAAAAAGGTTATAGGACTTAAATAATCCCTTTTTAAATTGCTTAACACATCTGATAAATAGCTCACATGTCAATCTGATATTATGCTGTACCATTTGGCTCTTGAATCCCGAACCTTTCGTTAAGAGACACCACATCTAGAACACTCTCAAATAAATAGTGTAAAACCAAAAGATAGTGAGTGTTTCAAAGCAAGAGTAACAGTACATCACGCAAGATACTCAGCGTTATACATACAGGGAATGCCATTTTGGTTAAACAGATTATGAAGCAGTATTCTTCATGAAATACTAGGCACAAGAATAAATCAATTAGACAGTGTTTTCTGCCTAATGGAGAAGTCTAAAATTAACATTCTTGGCAATACAACATTGTAACTGATATGCTTCTCAACATTTAAGAGCCTTAATTGCAAAAAACATGAAGCGATGTTTATATTTGTGTCTTTGACAAGCAGTTACAGTTCTGGACAGATTTCTTCTATGCTGTGTGCTCTACTTTCCAGCTGGTCACGAGTAATGTGCTGTGAAAGAAAGATTACAAAAAACCCAGATAATTCTTCACACTCATTGAATATTTTCAAAACACATACAAATACCATCCTGAAATCATCTTTGCTTCTCCAAAGGTTATGTTTGCCAACCCATCTTAGGATAAGCTTTTAATCTAAGAGTGCAGAAACTTAAAATAGTTATTTTACCCTCACGCTTTGAAAAGGTGGCAAACACCACTGTTCAGCACACTGAGCACCACCCCTGGAGCTGGGAGGATTTAACCCAGGAGTTAAGAACTAACACATGAAGTTCCTTCCACATGAGCAAACATAGTACTTTCCAGGTCAAATTTCAATTCGATGACACACTTGAAATACCCACCCCCCAACTTTATACATGAAGGAGCACAGTCTGTTGTGTTTTCAGGAAGTTGTTAACTCATGGTTTTAAACCAAAGCACAGCAATAAATTGGAGAAAACTCCTTATTGGTGTTTTTTATACAAAAAAGCCTACTCTCTCTATATGTACGTGCCTAAAAATTAGTGGCAGAAGAGAAAGATTATTATCATTTTGATGTGGTATTCTTTAATCTTTTAAAAAGGCCAGTTAAGCTTGGGCATGAGTTAGGTTTGGTAATGTGCAGTTTAACAAGCAAACAGCATAGTTAACCAGCAGAACCAATTGCTGTGTGCTCCCAACCTTCTCACTTAAATCATCTTTAGGGCGATGCTTGCCCTGGTAAAGAAAACACAGAGTATTCTGTATCTACTAAGCCGAAAGGGCACACCCAGTCAGTAATAGCTCAGCTGCTGGGCACTCTCTTTGAGCAGGGTTAGCACAGCTAAATGAACCAGAGAGAGAGAACAATACTCTTACTGCTTGTCAACTGAACTGCTACAGACAACACCCTTTACCTGATACTTTTGTGTAGCAGAAGTAAAGACAGGTCTGCATGGAAATCATCATGCTTAAATTTATCTATATCAGGAATATTCCCTTCAGTGATTTTAAAGAGAATTTCTAAAGGAAAAGTTTTTATGGAGAGGAATAAAGGTCACTTCTCCTGGCAAAGTCTATTTATGTTGTTCATGGAGCCATAAACAGGGAGTAGCCAGAGAAGCTGAAAAGTTGAAGCAAGCAAACACAGAATCACAGAATGGTTTGGGTTGGAAGGAACATTAAAGGTCATCTAGTTCCAATCCCCATGCCATGTGCAGTCTATTGCGACTTCAACTTTCTTTTCCACAAAAAAGCTTGGCTGCTAGAATCCATATGCATGGCATAAGATACAGCTACTTGAGGCAAGCAAGGAATGACCCATCCATTTAGAACACTCAGCAGCCAAAATGGAGACGGGCAAAAATACACGAAGAGTTCTCACCATCACTGACTGGACTGGCCATCTTCATTTCAATCGGCAAGAAATCTCAGTCTGTAACCAAGAAATGCAACTTGGATTAGCGAACCTAGGGCTGTCTGACAGGAGCCTTCTTAAAAATCTGCCCTAAGACTTTAGCCCCTTCTTCAAAAGGGGAGTGCAAAGATTAGAAGAATACTGTTAGTTTTACTCAAATACAAACCAGACAGGATTAGAGGGTAAAAAAGAACATCAGGTCAGAGAAGCATAGAACTTAGGGATTTTCACAGATAAAAAACCTTCCAAGTGAGAAGAGGATCTCAAATTGCCTAAAAGACAACCCAGGAGTCAGTGGAGCCCTCAAGTCACAACAGATCACTAGGAAATACCTTTTATGTCACATCTTTACCTGCAATAATCATCAGTACTAGAGAAGTCACGTTATTGCATTGGAATAAAAAGACACTGCATTCCAGCTCCCATTCACATAGACTGACAGGTATAATCGGTGAGTGGTAGCCACATCACCTCATGATTTCCACAACTTCCCAAGAACTCAAGTCAAAATGTAGCTACAGTACAACACAAGAAAACCCAAGACATTTCCTTTGCAGTTAAAAGCAAGTGTCAGGGCTGTTAGTCAGTGAAGCCAAAACAAGCCATTGCAAAAATCAGCTCCTGCATCACTCAACCCCTCCTTTCCTGCTCTATACAAAAGCACTTTAAAACACAATTCGAAGTCAAAGAGCTTCTTGAAAGCTATCCAGGTGAATAATCTTTCCATACTCCTAGACTACCAACAAGGGAATCTCAGGAACATGAATATTAATAGTGTTTTGATCTACTTCCACAAAGGAAATAATCAAATTGAAATACTGTTTTAAATACTCAAGTGCTTAATATGACCAAAAGCACAGCATGACCAAAAGCAGAGATGAACAAAAAGCCAAGTAGCAAGTGTTAAAACCATCTATTTGAGAAATGTTCCATAGCCCTAACTGACATTTATGAATAAGGAAATTCTTCTGTGCTCTCAAAAATACAGATGAGAGAGAAATAGATGTAATCTCAAAAAAGTTATTCAGGTAAAACTCTGACATTAACACAGCTACATTGCTGAACATTTATCATCTCGACATAGAACGTCTGAGGATATTCAATTCACCAGCTGCTACAGAAGAAGGACCAGTACTGAACCTCAGAAGAACTGATCCAAGGACAAAGACCAAAAGCTGTGAGAGCTGATACAGAGATTAGGAGATAATAAAACATCAAGGTTTAAGCAGAATGATTGAAAAATGAAGAACTGAGAGCTAAATCAGGTTAATGGAAAGTATTTCTATATGCTATGGTGTGGAGGTGAACCAGTTAGTTAATGTTGATAAACTGGCAGACAGTTTATAAGCTGTGAGCAGTCTAAAACTGATAATTACCAGTTGTGGCTCTGAAGCTGGTTATGAGGAAGGTGGAATGGACTTCAACAACAGAGATGGAAAAATGCTGCAAAGGTCTGCCTTCTTCCCAGTGGTGAATGCAGCTGGGGAGCGGAGTTGCCTCTGTTTTACAGCAGAGTGCAGAGAGATGGCAGCTTCAAGCCATGGAGAAAGGTCATACGGTTGCCTATTGGAGCCCTCCTTTCCCCTGGAGAATGAAGTTCTAGTAATTAGCCATTATAAGGCGTATGTTAAATTACTGGATTAAGTCAGTCCAGTAATGGGTCTCAGATGTGAACCAAACGACCCTCTCAGAGCAATTGTGAAGGCATTAGTCTCCCTGTAATAAATGACGGGACTAAAATGTGCAATCCACAGAATTTCAACACGCAACTTTGCAAATCATCTTTTTATTGCGTGGAATTTAAATGAATTTTAGAAGAGGTCCTAGTTCACATGGTTGTGAAAAACATGTGAACCAAGTTAAACCCATGCAGCATCTTCCCAAGTCTGCAGAGCATGCTAACATCTATATCTTTGCCAGCCACAGATGAATGAGGCTTACAGACTTCACAGCCCATCAGGAACAGACGTCTGTTTTTTTAATGTCAAAAACTTGTTCAAAGTGCTGTTACACACACAGGTGAGAAGTGAACTAATTGTTCAGCAGAAGACCACCAAAAAAATCTAAGACTTTTGTTATACAGTTTATCCTTTTCACCCAGAGAGCAGCTTAAAGATGAAAGAGAAGATGCCAGCCTCTATAGTCTTGTACGTTTCCTATGAAGAGACAGCCCTGAAGCAGGTTCCAGAAACAGCTTTAACCTAAAAGTCCCAGACTTTCTTCCAGTAGCTGCACTAAAAGCAAAGCTGAGAGTCTTATCCCCTACTATAGAAATAAACATTACTGCTCAAGGACAAGTCTGTACTGAAGGCCTAACAGCAGTTTTATATTAGAGTTTTTTCCTTAGGAAGTTAAGATACAGTCCTCTCAATGCAGAGGAAACATTTATGGTTGTTTCCCATTGCTGGCTCTAGCATGGATTGGGAGCAGAATGGGAACTGATCCACAACAAAAAGCCAGGCTCTCCTGTGTGGCCACAGCTTTCAATGCTGGGTACAAGACAGCTTTTCCCTTAAAAAGGATGCTGGCAACTTCACTACCCAAAGTCAGTTATGCTGGGGAAACAGTAGGAAGGAGAGATGTTTGCTTTTCTGTTGTGTCACAACAAAAAAAAAAACCTACATGCTATTTATCAACACTGGTGGTTTGTGTTTCATGCTACAAATCTACCTCTCAAGACAGTGTGCAGCATTGCTCACTGTTTCCCAACAGCTCAAAGGGACACCAGTACTTACACGTGCTTTTTAATTAATCAGTAGCTCACCATGTACATTAGCTTCTGTACTCATTGTTTCCACATCTGCAGCGTCAGACATCTCTTCATCCTCATCATCATCCTCTTCCTCACCATGTAGTTCTTTTGCAATGAGCTGTCTTGCTAGTTTGATGTTTCTTCCTTCATTGTAGTGCATTTTCCTCTTCATTTCAAACTGTTTCTTTTTCTCTGTGGACAAGCAAATCCAAATATTTATTTCTTCCCTTAAAAACAAAAATCAATTTATTTCTTTTTCAAAGAGGCACTCACTGCTTCCTAGATCAAATTTGTTCCTACTTTGAAAATCCATTGATTATTTTATCAATCACTGAACTAAAATTATTTTCTTCAAGCAGAGGAGTGTTCTTTTAAATGAACCTGACTCACAAAAAGGATAGTAATTGATGGATGGACTGTAATGGCTGAAGCACTTTTAAAAGAACCTGTTTGCAACTAAGAGCAAGTCTGAACCAAGAGAAGCATCTGGTAGCGGCACACAAAATTCCAGTTTCACAAGCCTTGTTTCTAAGTAAACTTAGGGAAAAACTGAGACATATGAGTGGGACAGAAGATGAACTTGTGCAGATGTGGCCTGACTCCTGGCTAGCTACCAAAGGTCAGTTAAGAGAGATGTATTTACCACATGTTGAAGAAAATATTTTCTACTTTCCCCACAGTCTGAAGCCTAACTCTGCTCCATATATTAAACGTTAGCAGGTCTAGCAGTAATGCATTATAATTAAAGTAAACTTTGCTTATTGGCAGCCCAAACACTCTCCTGGGTTTTTTTCCTACTTCAGAATAGCAGGGTTACATGCTAAAGTTGGGACCAGGAAATCTGAGAAGCACCAGCTAGATAATGCAAGACTGAAACCTCAGAAGTATTGTTTGACTGTTCCCTCAAAACACTCCAGTCCAAGTTAGCACAAAACAACATCTCTATTAAAGGTGCTATTTGCTTTGGAATAACTATAGATTTCCTACTGGATACACCTACCAGTTGCTTTGAAAACAACAGAAATAGCATCTGTGTGTTTGCAAGCAATTAGTAGCATCTTAATTGTGGTGGTACTCGTTGAATTAAGTGTACCTGAAATATGTCCATATTAAGAACTACTGCCTCACCCCCAAACCAGAAGAACTTAATTGAGGTGTCTAGATTTTTTCAGTAGGAATTCCCACACCTGAAGCTTGTATACAAGGAGGCATCCAGCAACAGCCAATTCCTGTTTATATGTAGATCCCAAACCAAAGAGTCCTGATTAGAAACGAACAGCATATTTGTTTGAAGACTATTTATCTTCATTTTCAAATCACATAATTTTTCTGACAGTGCTTTTTCTTCCCAAACACTTCTTACTGAAAATCTGAAACTATTTGTAGGAAAAAAAAACAAAGCAAAACGAAGGAAACAAATTATGCCTACCTCGTTCCTCAGGTGTTAATTCTTCATCCTCTTCCTCCTCCTCACTGCTTTCCTCTTGCCTTGCTATGATCTTGGGTCCTTTACCTTCAGCTGCAGCTGCCAGTCTACATAAATAATGCAATACAAAATGCTGAAACAGCAAGTTTTTCACTACATCAAATACATGGCATTTCAGAACACTCATACAAACTGCTTTCTTCATTATTTTTGCATATTTACATGTAGTAACAACCTGCAGTATTACCAGTGGCACCATCAAACACTGAAATCCAGTTAATTTGACAACAGCAAAAATGAAACTTCTAGAGAAACCAGCAACAGCTTTCCATAAAGAAAATCTACCCCAGGAAAGAGCAGATTATCATAACATTTAGCCAATTTTTTAAATGACAATACTTACTTTTTACTCAGCACATCTGCTTTTAAGGGCTCATTTGCTTCTGAATCACTCACTGGATCCTCATCATCTTCTCCTACCATGCTTGGAGAGCAAACAAAAAGTAGCCTTTATTAGTAATTTGATGCTTAAAGTTTGCTGAGAAAACAGTGAAAATCTTCAATTAAAAGACTCCTTTAGTACTTTAAAAGCTTTTCAAATCTCCTTTAAATATTGATATGACAACATTAGATTCTAGTACTGAAAAAAATAAAATCAATACAAGTCAGACTTATTTATTCCATTCAAAGCCTAAAGCCTGCTAGACATAAACCTTCTAAAATTGACTTTGCCCTTATAGATAGTTCTCCTCAATAGCTATAAGCCTTACTTAGCAGCTTTGTAAATCTGAATACATTGCATACATCCAGTAGGCCTGCACAATCACAGATAATCAGCCATAATAAATATTACATCACCCACAAAGTAAATTTTGCTGTAAAACTGTGATGTCACCTGGCTGCATTCAGGAGTTTAGCAAGCATACCTGTGATACGGAGTACTTGGTTCATCTATTTTCATCAAGCCATAATCTTTGCCTGCAGGGTGGTACGTAGCTATGATATTCATTTCATCCCACTTCTGGGATTTTTTACTGAAATAAGAAAACAGTTAAATTTTCTTATATTCTAAAAACATTTAGTTCTATTTGACCACAGAAAGAATGTTTAAAACATCTTTTGATCTCTACTACATCATAAGCACAAAGAATATTGTTATGACACACAAACATGTTCAAAGTATGACTATTAAATACTGTTCTATAAATACTTATGCAAATTATCAGTGCAACTTAATTTCCCTAACAAGTCACAATAGCCAGATAAACTCAGTGATCTATACATGTATTCTTGGTCACATAATCCAGAGTCTACTGGTCTTGTTCAATCACTGTCTCGTGAATTGCTGGATTTTACAGTAAATTGTAACAAAGCATTCTTCTTATTATTACACCCCACAAGACCTCAAAGAACTCAGTACCTCCCAGCTCACCTCTGCTCAGGCAGCTGCTATGATTATTAGCAAACCTGTTACATAAACAATACCAGCCAGCAAATCCCCCCTGCAGAGAAATAAACAGCACAGAACAAGCTGGTTATTAATACTGCTTTTGTCATTCTAAATTAGAATCATAAGCCAACTGATTCACTGCTGTAATTAAGCCAAGGGAGTTTCACATTTTACACAGACAGACACCAGTGATGTTATATTTTTTAGAATTTCCTCAATCAACCAGAAAACATACCCTTTTATGTGTATTTGAAGAAACAAAAGCTCACCCACACTGACTGCTCACTGACAAAACACGTAAGCCACAAGGAAAGCAACTGTCTCAGGGCCAGAGGAAGAGCCATCCCTCCACTGATCTAAAAGCCACAAAAAATGTTAAATGAACAAAACCTACCATGTTCCATATTTTCTCTAAAAAGGTTATTGTAAGCTTCGTATAGTCTTTCCCTTAGCTTAAGTCAAAAATCTAACTTTAGACTTGTAAAATAATTTTAAAATTTAGTATTACTTTATGAATTAACATATTCCTGTTGCAAATGATTAGTTAGGGAAGCAAATGATACAGGACTTCATGGGTTTTGCAGAGGTTTTTGTTTGGTTTGGGGTGGTTGATTTTTCGGGGGGAGAGAGGGACTGTTGGCTGGAAGACTTCCACTGAACTACTTGTTTAAACACAGACTGTTCCAATAACAAACTTGGAAAATACATTCAATCTCAATAACACAAATACTCTTGAGCAGAATGCTCTCTGTAAAACAAAAACTGATAAAGAAAAATTCCAAGCACAAACTAAGGTTTTATACTTATGGGAGCACTGCGTAATACAGTGTGGGAGGAAAAAAAATGAAGAGAAAAAAATAGATGTGGGGGCTGATGCTGAATCCCACATGCCACAGACTTACACTCAAGAAACGAATACAAATTGAGTGGTCTTAATCCCCTCAGCATACAGTAACCAATGCCAAGCTCTCATGTTTGAGGCTTCAGGTCTATTTAATCATTTGTGCAGTCTAAGCGGACAACACATGAGCCTGACTGCGGCTCTGGCGGAGCGGGGAGTCATGAGCTTCCTGATGACAAAGCAGCAGCTCTGGTCTAGGAATGCCAGCCATTCAAACCTTTCTATTTAGAAGTCCAAAAATCACCAGTTAATCGCCTGAAGTTCACCTATGACTAACATAAGATGATCACTCGGTTGCACAGCGAGGGTTTTTATGAGCCACGGCAGTTAGCCAAGGGTACATAAGCCCCTGTAAACAGCCAGAGCTCAGCTGAGAAGGAAATATGACAGATAGGAGCAACTCCCAGCACATGCTTTGTGTTCATTTGCCTAGAGTCCATCAAGGTTTATCGCCTGGACTCACAACTCAGTACCCAACACCAGCACTGGCAATCTTGGAACAATCCCTTTGCATTCACTGCTTCGAAATCAGACATCCTACAGCGAGCTAGGCAGGGACTCACAAATAAAAGAGTGAAGAAGTTTTTAGTGGTTTAGTTTGTCACAATCATTTCTTTAAACTCAGATTCCAATAAAAGCCTTGGCTGTAGAACACCTCCCAAAGCACAACTTAAAGTTCAGCTAGGAAAAAAAGAAATCATTAGTAGCAAAGAGACAAACATGCCATTTCTCTGCCGCATGTAAAGAGCCATCACAGGACAGTGACTAAGTGCTCTAAAAACCCATACCTCCTTTGTCTCCAATTCTGCATGCTTAGGCATGTCTGCACAGTGTAACACTAATGACAAAGCTCAGGATCATGACAGGGAAATGCCTCCTGACACCCCTTCAGATATGGAAACAAGAAATCTAATCTTCCTTAGGGAAATCAGATTTGCAAAAACTCAGAAGTGCTCATTTGTATTTTCTCACATCTTTAAAAATACACAATAATTTCATTTGACACCACACACCCTGACTGGCAAGAAGTCTCAGCAGCAGTATTACTCAAGGAACACCTCCCTCCTTGCTCCTACCATAGCAGGCTCATCTCTTCCAGCACAGGTGCTTGGCACACACACTCTCACACTGTTACTTCATAAAATATCAGATCTCATTGCTCACAGGCTCTTACAGGGCCCTGAAGGCAAAAAGTACTGCCCGTGAGAAATGCCAAGAACATATCTACCACTAAACCACGATCTCAGCTCTTAGGATGCACTTCCTGGGGTGTTCCAATTTCTCAAGCTTCCACGTTGCATCATATTTTCATTAAAGTTTTCCAAAGAATGATACCATCACTGACAGCAGTGCAAGGTCAAGAATGATGCAAGCACGTGAGATCTCTACTGAACATGGATCTTTAAAAGACGACAGCTAACAGTGAGCTCTTTCATATGCAGTTATTTTTAACAGATATTCAGACCTGAATTTAAATACTGGAAATAAACAGAGAGGCTGCTGACAGATGTACCCGAAGAAAAAAGATTCCTGAATTTATTAAATAATTTTTAATCTGCAAGGAAAATCACAGTTGTACTACTTACCATTCTTTTAAAAACAGTAACACTGATACGATGATGCTTGCCAATCAAAAATAATAACTGCACACAAGCCAGCTTTAAATACACTGTACTGATCTTTCCTGGAAATCTCCTAATGCAGTCTGCCAGGTTTAGCCAATATCCTGTAGCTTGCAAGGCAATTTCAGAAATAATCTAATTGACTTTATTGACTCACATTGGTAAACAGGAAATAGAAGCTGGACTGCTGCCCACTAACTGCTTACCAAGAAATTACTGTGTGCAATAGCCAATACTCATCAGTTCATACTCCAATTCCTGCTCATTCTTTGACACAGTACAAAAGAAACTGCAGAAAATTAAACAGAGGCTACCAACAGCTGTATTTCATGTCTAGTGTGGTACTGAAACCCTGTGCTACATAACAGTAAAATTAAAGAACGGGAAAAGAAAAAACAAAAGAAAATAAAAACTCTGCATTTCCATTTTATTCTATCGTTATTTTTCTCCTTGTAATACTGAGTTAGGTCCCAAGTAAAGAAAACTGTCAAAGCAATTTTATAAACAGCGTTCAGGTCAAACTTTGCTCGTCATAATGTGACAGTGTCTCAGAGCACATGCTGGGTGCATCAGGAAAAGTACAGGAATTCTTGCTGGCCGGCTAAAGACCACTTCTTGCATATTTGGACTAACTCAGCACGTTATAATTCAACGAAGATTTTCATGTCACTCAGATCACAAACCACACGGCCTTTGCACATTCTCAAGGGTGAGATCTTTACATACGATTCATCTTGATAACACTTCAGCCCAGGACAGGTCCCCTCCTTAGGGACACGCTTCTGGTTACTCAAGCTGCCTTTGAGAAAGCTGAGAGTAAATCTCACATGGCAAAGCGTTACTTCCCAAACTGCGAACTACCCTCGCAGCATCTGTAAAGCCCCTTGTGAGCTGCCACACCGCCAGGGAAGTGCCTCTCCTTGGCAGGAGCCACGGCCATAGCTCCCACCCGCCTCCGCCCAGGAGCACAGCCCGGCATCCCTCCGCTCCCAGGGGTGCTCCAGCCCCGGCAGGTTCTCCCACTGCCGATGGAGCAGAGCCCCCGGGCCGCCGCACGGGGGGCACCGGACAGACCCCCGATAGCCCTGGCATCACCGGGCACGGGCACCGCAGAGCCCCCCCCAGCTGGAGACGCCCCCGGCTGACCCCGCTCCGCGGGCAGCCAGATGAGCGGGACTGCAGGAGGGAGGAAGGGAGGGAGGGATGAAGGGAGGTCCCGCAGGGACCCGCCGCCGCCCCTCATCGTCGGGGCCTCACCCGTGTTCGTCTTCGTCGCAGGCCGGGTTGGCCCGCCGCGCCCCAAGGCCCACTCCCGCCGACGCTGCCTTGCTGCCGCTCTTCTTCAGGATGCCTTTGATGGGCCCCCGACCCGCGGCGGCCGGTACCGAGGGCACGGAGGGCGCCTCCATGGCCACGCCGCCCGCCCGGTGCCGCCCGCTCGGAGCCGCCGCCGCCGGCTCGGCCCGGCCCGGCCCGCGCCAGCACCGCCCCCTCAGCCCCGCGCTCCGCGCCCCCTGGCGGCCAGGAGGACCGACAGCGCCCCCTCCCCCCCGCAGGGCGCCTGTGCGGCCACGAGGGGGCGCCCTGCGCGCGCGGCGCTCACCCACGCGCGGGGAGCGGGAGCGCGCGGACACGGGGACACGGGCACATAGGGACACACACAGGGACATGGGGACACACACAGACACAGGGACACATGGACACGGGGATGCGGACACACTGGCACGCAGACACAGAATCACTGAATCACAGAATCAGTCAGGTTGGAAGAAATGCCATGGTACACGATTGTGTCCAGACAGTTCTGAGATTTCTCCAGTGAGGGGGACTCCACAACCTTTCTGGTCAGTCTGTTCCAGTGCACAGTCACTTGCACAGTAAAGAAGTTTTTCCTCATGTTCACGTGGAACTTCCTGTGCATCACTTTCTGCCCATTGCCTCTTGTCCTAGTGGTTAGCAGCACCAAGAACAGCCCGGCTTCCTCTTCTTGGCACCCCCCATTTTGACACAGGCACTGATCAGGACACAAGGGGTCCCCAGGGTTGGGGCCCACACTCAGGGCCTGCACACTGGGAGATGCTGCTGCCCTCGGGGTGTCTGCACATCCCCAGCTCTGGGCAGCATGTGGGCCTTATGTGGGTGGCACTCCTGTACACACACAAGGGTTTTGCGTGTGCAGGGCATCCACACGTGCTTTGTGCTGGGGACGTTTGATGGCACATGGAAGGACAGGCTGCAGCTGTGCCATGGTGTCCCTGGGCCCCTCTCTGTGCCGCCCATGTGGAGATGGCCCTGGCACAATGTGTTTGCCAGAGCAACCCAGGTTTGTCACAGTTCCCGTGGCACAATGAGGGAGGCAGTGTGGTGTCCAGAGGGGTCAGGCATCACAAGGTTCTGCTGCTGAGTGAAACACTCCTGTTTCTCAGCAAGACCTGCCTATCCCAGTTCCCAGTGGTTTCCAGGGGCAGTGGCTGCCCCTCCAGTGGGGCTGCAGGTTTGCACCCCTGGGGCACAGGGAATGAGGGTTACAGCAGCACTATCCATGTGAGGAAGACAGAGAGCTGATGAAACATTGATAAAATAATCTACCCTCAAAATATGACACACTTGGGAGCCACCATGCAGCTGTTGGAATCCTGTTGTGTCCATCACCCTTACAGCCCAAGGATGAGGGTGGAGTGCTTGATTCTGTGTCACAGGAACTGTGGCATTAGGATTTGAAAGTTTAAAGGGATAATGACTTAAATATGGCAATTGTTTCTGACTCCTCCCATCTCAGCCTCCTTCAGATAGTGAGACTAGTGGCATACTGACTCCCTGCTCAGCAGCATGTAGAATGTTTCCTGCAGATTTACAAGATTCTACATCCATATGGCTGTTTCTCCAAGTGAATAAAAGCAGCAGGAGATAAATGTCAATGCCAGCCAAAGCCACAACACAGGTTTTCTGGCATGGCTCAGGTAATAGAGGGGTGCCCATACATCCAACCCCAGAGAGCTGGAAAGAGCTCCAGGCTCCTGAAGAAAACCATTTCACTTCAGCCATGGTTGTTATGTTGCATTGCATTCCTGCTCTGTCAGTGCCATGACCTCAGAGGAGGTCATGCCGAGACCCCCTGCCTGCTCACAAAGGCCATGCAGGTGGTAAGGTACAAAAACCCTGAAGCAGGTATTTTTGTTTCATTTTTAATGAGTTGCATGAATGCTATTCAAGCAGAGTTGTCCTGGTGCCTGGTGAACACCTGCCAGGGCAGATGCAGTGCCAGGGGGCACTCAGCACTTGGAACAGCAGTGAGCAGGGTGTCAGGCAGAGCCTGCTGTCTCTCCAAGTTCAGGGAAAAGCCTCTGGAAGAAAGAACAAGGGAGCAGACCCATCTCTTTCTGTCTGCTTACAAGTGCAGTCAGGGTTGACCTCTCAGGAGTGCAGGAGCAGACTCCCTAGAGGCAAGAGAGGACACATATAGACACCGGGGATGGAGTGATGATGAGTTACTGGACATTTTTAGACTTTAAATACAAAGGGCCAGATCTGATTTCTAGCAAGAAGGTCTGCTGACTTAGCAGCAGCATATGCCTACAGCCCTGCACCGGGAAACTTTCAAGACCCACAGTGTCAGTTCCCAGGCTGCAGGACCAACCCACCACATCTGGATGTTGCTGCTGTTAAGGCAGTGCCAACAGACACTGTAGATTCCTAGCAGGCCCAAAGCATCAAGACAAAAACGGGAAACAAACCTGGAGCTGTGTGATAAATGATTTTTCCCCAGGACTAATACTTGCACATCACATCTGATACCCTTTCCCATCCGTGTACTGGAGGACTCACAGCAACAGCAGAGGTTCATGTCTGCACTTCAGGGTTTCTTTTCTTCACCTATTAGCATTGACTCAATTGCAAAAGTCAGAGCAAGACAAAAAAAAGGGGAAAGAGTGATAGAGGGAATGATAGCAAAGAGTAACCCTGGGCTGGCAAACTATAGTTAGCAAAGAGGTTATTAAATTTCTCGGTTACATAGAGAAATTCTAATGGATAATAAAGCAAGCAACAAAGTTCATCACTGGTCTGGTGCTGTATCACTGTGTGCTGGGAGTTACATCTCATCAGGGCAGTTGACTTGATCAGTGGGCATCATTTTGTCGGTGTCAATCTTGTAAGATTGGAGAACACTCTTCAGGTGCTCCACGGTTTCTGGGTGCATTTCAGGAGCTCTTGATAAAATCCAGGCATAGTCCATGTGGAAGAGCCAGAGGATGTTAGTGCAGGAGTAAACCAGTGAGTAGTTTTCATAGTCGGTGGAGACAACCCAGTAAGGGGCAGCAGGCATGACTGGGAGAGAGAAGGGCACCGTGAGTGTGATGCAAAACTGACTCTGGATGGCTCTGCAGCACTACAGCCACAGCTTCTGGGGCTGTTCTCACTTTGGCTGCTACATAATTGTGGTCATTGCAGGCAGCTATAATTTATAAAAGCCTACCAGGACTCCTTGCTCTGCCTGGACAAACTCCAGAAAGCCACAAAGCCCTCACCAGGAGGGTTCTTGCTGAAAGGTTAACACTGTGACCTGAACAGCTCACCTGGGCCACTGAAAGCCAGCCCATCTCATACACGTGTGAGGGTTCTTGCTAGTGGGAGGGAGCTGACACTCTGACATTGGGTGATCCGAGGAGCACAAACCCCCACCCACTGCCACGGGGAGCCCTGGCTCATGAAGCCAGCTGGAGCCCAGCAGTGGGAATCAGTATAGCTCAGCCCATTACAGCTAAGCCATATTCCCTTCTCCATCAGGCTATGCCCAAAGCATCTGCTCTGATGACGGACAGCTACTCCAGCTTCAAACTGCCAGGCAAGAAGCAGAGGGGGGTCCAGCAGGCAGGTCTAAGGGCCCTAGGATTTATTTCTGATGCCCTTAGGAATGCCAGGCAGTGTTCTCTGGCATTCACACCTGGTGAAGGTGGTTGGGGCTACACATGCTGCAACTGAAATGGCTATGGGTGATGCTGTAGCAGCACAGAATGAAGTCTGGCTGTGTGCATGAACAATCACTGTATCTCCTTTGCAAGTATCCCTGTTCCACCCCTATCTGCAAATAAACTCTCTGTGAGGGAGGGCTGTGAAACAGCCAAGGAAAAGGTGTGAGGGAGCAGAATAAAAAGGGATTTAAGGGTAGACTGCTGCTCACTTTCCAAAGTGTTGCTGCGGACAGAGGAAAGTGCCGTGTAACATGAATAAAATGCACTGCACCTCAGCAGGCCCTGTCGAGTGTTGCAGTGATGAGGGAAGGAAAAAGCAAATACAAACACATTAATGATTGTTAAAAGGTGCTTATAAGTAGAGGCAGCATGGGCTAGTAGCTATACTGCTGTGTGCAGAGAAACAAGCCTATTCCTGGCCCTTACAGTGGCTGTGGGGCTGCCTACCCGCCTCCCCTTCTGCCCATCCCATCTGTGAAATGACCTGGAGGGACAGTAATGCTCCTAATCTTTCTTGCTCTGAGATCAGCTGGTGAGGAGACCTCCACCACTGAGGGTGCTGTTGCAGTAAACGGTGTCTCAGTACCACCAAAGCACTGCCTGCTGGTCCCTAAGTCTGTCCTAACCCTTTGCCGCTGCCTCATTGTGCTGCGCTGAAATCACCAGGGGAGCTTCACCCCTTGCTTTGCTATCTCTGACCCCTGATGCCATGGCAGCAGTGCCTGTTTCGAGCTGCCCACTGTGGTGCTCAGACCACAGCACAGCCGAGGCCGTGGACAGTGGGAGCCTCCCCACCACAAACTTACACCAGTTAAAGCGGACGCCCAGCTTGGCTGGCTGCTTTACATCCATGTGCATCAGTTCTCCTTCAGCTTCGTTGACTTTGCCATTGGAACTAAAGGGAGAATGACAAAGGTAAGAAATAAAGTCAGGAGAGTGGGAAATACTTTTTTTTTGCTTCCACTAAATCATCCCTCCTGACACATCCACTGTCAAGAGGTGGCTGAAACAGGTACTAGTGAACCCCTGCATTCCCAGAGGGACAGCTCACACCTGAGGATGGTTTTAGCAGCACCCAGGGCACAGCAGATCCTGGGCCAGGTGCAGCAGGTCAAATGGTGTCCCAGGTCAAACCACTCCAGCACTCCAGGCTGCCTCTCTCCAAGTGCCCCTGCAAGTGGGGTATCTTTTGGTGCCAGGGTGACAATGAGAGACGAGACCTCTGTATCAGGAGCAAGACCCCTCTGTATGGGATGGGAGGATCCCAGCACTGATCTTGGATGTGCTAGGGAGCAGCTCAACTCCTACTAGTTGTGGAAGGCACATGTTCACATCTGTTTATTCACCTGCATTTTTTCCAGGTCAGTGCACATTCCTCCTCACACAAATTACCTGTGCCTGCGTGATGAACCAGGGTTGGTTTGGCTGCTGGTTTGGCTGCTGGTTTGGAGCACTGCCCTGCTGGCA